TATATATATATATATATACACACACACACACACACACACACACACACACACACACAAGTATGCACCCATCCACACTTTTAAAAGTGCAACTGTAGCTTGAAAGCCTGAATGCACCAAATAAATACAAAACGGGACAGGAAATTTGTGATATAAATATGGGGTTTTTCCTTCTTTATGGGTTCTTGAAAAGCAGATTCCCTCCCCATGACTACTGGTCTCAGCTCTCTTAACAACTGCAGCATAAACTCTGCTAGCAACTTCATGTATTCACTACTGAATAGCCAAAAAACATGCAGGCTTGGGCTACCTGCAGAGAAGGATACAGCAAGAGATACATAATGTGAACTTATTCCTAATATTACACAATTTTGTAATGTGTCTTCTCATTAATGCTATCTTCTCTTAAAGGAGGACTGTCCTTCACAAATCACACAAAATAAAAAACATACATTAACACAGGTGATATGCTGAATCCTTCCTTTATTGGTGGGCATACATCACCCTACTCTACATTTCTAAATTTATACGTAATTAAGTCTACTAAATGAAATAAGATCATACAGAAAAATATTTTAATGCTGATGTAGTAGACCCCTACTCCCAACTAAGTAATTCCAATTATTTTTGAGTGAACGTCATAGGGAAAACAGGTCTCGTATTTGTATTACTTCCTTTTTAGAGACTGTTGCCCTTCTAATCAACTTAAGTCCAGGCCTCCTTGTCCTAAAAGTCTCCATTATTTCATTTCCATTTTAGTTCTGCTTCACCTCAGGGCCTCTTAAAAAGAGGGGAACCTAAAGCCACGTCTATACTCAAGCAGAAGTTCAAATTAATTAGTTACGTTAATTGCGTAGCTGGAGTTGACATAACTTAATTCAAACTTTGGAGTCATCTCCACAGACAAATGTCGATGGGAGCAAATGCTTCCATCAACTTCTCTTACTCATCGCAATTTGAGTAGTACTCGTGTCGACAGAGGTATCCTCAGCATTCAATTTAGTGGATCTTTACTAGACCCGCTAAATCAAATCCTGGAAGATGGACAATGGCAGCGCTGATCTTCCTGGAAGTGAAGACATGGCCTTAGAGACAGCAATTAACCTAGCATCATAAGCAGGATTTTAAGAATTTGAGACTTCTTAAAAGAGACTTTTTTTTTATTCCAAACTTCTTCCTACTAAGGTTTACTCCTGCCTGACAGAGCAGTATATTGATCATAAAAAAGAACATACAGGAGGCCCCCAACTTGCAACCACCCGAGTTCCGACCCCCTGCACTTACAACCATTTTTGTAAGTGCAGAGGGAGCAGAAAACCCCCGACTTATGTCCTCGGCCCGCATTTACGACGGTGCACGCTAACCATCATAAATGATGGTTCAAGTTACAATGCCCCCAACTTGCAATGCTTCCCCAGAACTAATTGCATCTCAAGTTGGGGGCCTCCTGTACCTTTTCCTCAGAGTCAGAAAACACCAAAGCATCTTTTTCTAAGAGAAGAGAGACAGAGGGTCAAACTCTCCCTCAACCCTTCCACTCACAATGGGCACAGTTTGTGTTAATACACAAATCCTAGCCTCTCTCCCTCTCTCCCCTTAAGGGTACAACTGACCAGCATCCTCTATTATTGCTCCTGGCCTGGAAAACATGAGACCAAATCAGAGACTATAATTTAGATCTTCCACCAGGGAACTCAAAGTACCAGAGAAGTCCCATATTCATAAATGAAAATGGAAACAAAACACAACGCAAGAATAAATGTGTGCCCAAACATTAAGTTTGGATATAAACATTCTTTATATACCATATATGCTGACTGTGCACAACAGTTAAGGATAATTTCATGTACGCTTTGAATGCTATTTCTTTTATGGTTTAATGTCATTATTTGACAATACAGATTTCTTTCACCAACAGCTTTTAATACTGTAATTTTTGAAGGTCATGGAAGGATCTGAAAGTTAATAGGATACTTATTATTGCTTCCTGCTATATAGTGAATGTATTTTTATATTTGAGGGAAAGAAGTAGTTATTTCACAGAGAGAATGAAAAATCATCTCTGACAGACTTTGTGAAAGTCTTTATTTGCTGATTTCTGACCCTATAAATTATGTAACTAATGTATGGCAACTCAAATCACTAAAATAGTATTCTCACAATGCACAAAAATCTCTATGAATATTGTAAAAAAGTTTATAGTGCATACACAATATCCAGTTTTTTATCTCTTGATCTTTTTAGATTTACCTTTTCCCTTCAAAATACTGAAAACCATGAGGCAACTTTATGGACTATGTACTTGCAATTTATTTTTTTAATCAAGGGCATTGTTAATGGTTCGTAAGCATAAAATGCATCTTTAAAATCCTTGCCTCCTTTTCTAATGATGTATAGCAATACTTTAGGAAGACAGGTCCATGTCCACTAGCCAACTGTTTCTTCCCAGAGATCGTATTGTATTTTATCACATTTTGTTCAACAATAGCTTCCGATTAGTCACTAGTTTTGCCATAGCATTTGAGCTGCTAAAATATAACTGGATTCACTACTTCATCAGGGTACCCTTCACAGAAGCCTTAAAAAAAAAATCACAGTTAACACCTGTTTCCTGTACTACTTTCACCCCATCATCCTCCTCTCTCCTATCATTACCACCATTTATTTGGCCTAACATTTATAGTCTATGTAATTTTGAGATCCATGAGAATGGATAAACAAAACATCTTATACATCCTTAAGCCTTTTTCATGACTTTCAATTTATGTGTGCAAAAACAATCCAAAGCTTTTCTTACATTTCTCCATTTTGGAAAGGTGACTTAACAACCCACTCCCCCCACCATTTTCTGTATCTCTCTCATTGCTCTGATATTTTGTCATGCTATAGCTAGTGAAAAGCAATATCATGGTTTAGAATCATGTCTTCCCTCATTATACTTATAAATCCAATTAAACTGCTTGTATTGTTTTTAAAGCCATGCACTCCTCACAGCATTCTCTCATTTTAGCCTATCTTCTTTTAACTTGAATTTCCAGTGCACTGCCATTATTTTTATTATGTTCAAACATCATTCATCTATATTTTAGGTAATATCATTTCAGCTAAAAAAAGGCCTGTTTAGGTGTATTATATTACTAATTATAATTCTAGTAACTCATTTCCAAAGTATATAATATTCAGCTGTTCTGCTACACACATTAAATGATTAAATTCAAATAATGTTTTAATTTGAATTGATCTTGCGTTGTCCGCGGATTAAATAATTTTCTGAACACAAGTTTCTATTAAAATAAAATCTCAAGAAAAAGAGAAGTGAACAGGTTTGATTATTAAAAGCACCGAAATAGTCATTAAGAGAACTATTTGCATATAAAAAATCTGAATGTCAAAAATAAAAAATAAGGTTTTAAAATATCTATTTAAAATCAAACAACTATTTATAATAATTTGATTGACATATGAAATAATTGTTCTAAAAACACTTCTGAGTCATTTTGTCCTTACCTGCAGGCATGAACCATTATTACTGCATGCAGTGACTGTTCTATTTCCTAGCACAGACTTGAAGAAGCATCACATCTATTTTACAGAATGTGACTAATTTGTGTGTTTGCAATTCCTAAGCTATTTGGAAAGGACACTCCCTTTCAACATAACAGAATATTTAATGCTTAGCACACTGATACTTTCTACTAATCTAAATCTAACAGCAACCTTGGTAACAGTAAAATTATTTCCTCTAATACAAAACAAAAAATCTAATTTTTGAAACTGAATTTAGAAGTCAAGATGCTTTTGGGGTGAAAACAAAAAAATAGAACACAGCCTGCAACAACAATATACATAAACCAGTAGTCTGCTGTATTACGATTTGCATGCTGCTGTTTAGACTTCAGTAAAAACAAAAATAAATAACCCTTTGCAAAGACACAAACCTTAGCCAAAAACAGAGTCATTCAATACATTGCAATAACCAGCATGCAATACATCAACAATATTAGCAAACAGATAAGAAAAAATGCCCTATGCTGCTGCTTTACAATGCCACACCATTAATTCTTCGAGCAAGAGATGTAGCTGTACCTTTCTGAAGAGGACGACTTCTCAGAGTTAACTGACATCAGCAGCTCAATCTTCTGCTTGATTTCTGGAAAAATCAAAAAATATTCACAACCAAGATTGCCTGCCCTTGTTTTCCAAAGTCTTATTATCAAATAATTTTTTTTCCTAATCCCTTTTGTTCCGAATGAAGCCACAAGATTACAGTACTTCTGTAAGGACTGATTCAACCGTGCTCTAAAGGGAAAAGCTCCAGAGGCATCAGGCCTTGCTAAACTATGCACATGACTGTTTATGAAAGCAGGAAGTACCATTTCTTTTAAGCAGAGGGGTGGTTCCTCTTTTGAGGTTGAGCTAACATATTTACTAGATGATTCTTATCATAACAATTTACAAACCACTGCACAAATTCCAGCTTCTAAGAAAAATCAAACAAATAGTTTGGGGAGTAAATTATTTGCAGCTTTGCTACCTAAATGTATTTACTACCCTTCAGAACCTTCATTTTAAAAAGCCCTGAAAAATATGGCTCTTTGAATTATTTTTGTCACAAAGAATGAAGTGTTAAATCACTACTTTAGTATATGGATCAGAAATCACAGACAGGCTATACAAATGTCTGAATTTCTTAAACTGATATTACCAGTACTCTTTCAAATATACTTTGAATGCCAACATTTAAATTTGCCTTCAATTTTTTATTCCTAATACCTTAATTGCCCCTTCTAATGCTCACAACCAATGATCAGCAAAACCCATTAACAGAGCAGGGCTGATACATAATACTTGTCCTAAGAGAAATGGCCTAACAATGACATCTAGAACAGAAATATTGAGAGCCAGATCAATTTTACTGCTAGACTACTGTTACAGGAGGAGAAGGGAGGAGAGAAAGAAATAGCCTCATACCAACTGCGACTTCTATATCATGAGATCTCAAAACCAAATACACATGGATGGTTTTAAAAAATAAATTAAGATTATCATGTAGCCAGAAGCTCTGTTACTTAAATGTTTCAGATGAAAACCAAAGGATACTAACATAATAAAGTTGACTGATTATAATTTTAAAATCATATTATAGCAGAGCTGGATGCACTAAATCTATTTAATGTTGTCTGACACTTCCCATTCTAAGACCCTATTTTCAATTGCTTACAACATTACTAAACTTTAAGTATTCAGGCTCAAATTTCCCATTCCGGAGATATGCCTCAGGGTGCTGCATTTATTTTTCAGCTGAAAAAAAGTTCAGCCATTAACTTTAAGGAAAAGTATGTTTTTCCCATGTTAAAAAGAAATCTTACAACCATCTCATTGAGAAGCTCTAGCATTTCCAGGCTTTTGGAGCAAGGTCTTGAAATGTAAGAGGCAGTAAGGTGGGGGTTGGAGTCACTCTGCTGATGGAGACGTGTCATTTTACTTTCCCCAAATTGCACAAATTTGGCGAATTTATAAACCTCCAAAAAGGTTTAGTTTACACATGCGCAACAGAAAACTATTAGAATTTGGTAGCTAAATTTTCCAGAGTCCATGTCTACATTGAGCACACTCATCGTGGGGTTTCAGGGATTGAGCACAATTTTCCCAACTACAGGTTGAACCTCCCAACTCCAGGATTCTTTGATCCGGCAACATCCATGGTCCAACAGGGCCTGGCTGAAGTGGACCTGGTGGAGGCAGGTAGCCAGAATCCCCAGCAGCAGAGGGGCAGGGCAGCTGGGTGGCCTGGCTGGGGAACCGCCTCCAAAAGCAGGGCCAGCAGTGACCAGGTGGCCCCAGCCGGAAACCTCAGGGAACACCCCGCATCAGCAGAGCTATCAGAAGCCAGGCAGACCCCGGGGTAGCAGGCAGGCAGCGTGGGAGGGGGAGGAAGTCGTGCATAACCAGTGTTCAGGGAGCCAGCAGCAGGGCATGGATTCCCAAGGACAGGAGCCCAGGAGTGGGGCAGCCAACAGGGGAGCAGGTCCTGAGGGTGACAGACCAGGGAGGTCCGACCTGTATTACCTTTCCCAGCTGCTAAGGTAGAGATGATAAGAAATGAAATGCACCCGCAATGTACCACTGATGTCTCCAGGCAGTAAGAAGGAGGAAACAACCTGAGCAAATGCAAAGTGGAAAGCAGCATAGGAGAAGGAGCTGCAGGCAACAGAGGGGAGAGAAGAATTGGGAGGAGCAACAGTCACATGCAGCAAAAGAAGGGGAAGAGCTGAGGCATAAAGTTGGATAGAAGTAATGAAGGGCAGTAGCAGGGTGAAGGGGGCAAAGAGCGGGAAGGAAAGCAGAACCTGCAATACACAGGACCAAAGAAGCACAAAAACTAGAACCTGTGTAGGAGATACAGAGAAGCACAGATGGAGGAGGGCAGAAGACAAGGTGTGAGAGGGTGGAGAGGAGCCAATAGGGACAGGGACAGGAGCTGGGGTAGGAGGGACAAAGTCAGCCTGAGGATAAGGAGGTAGAAAGCAGGGGCAGAAGGATCTAGTACTATTAGACTACCATTCCCTACAGAACCTGGAATTGAACCCAAAAGTCCTATGTCTCTACATCCTTCTGCTATCATCAAACAAAAGCAAAATCCACTGGCAAAGAATGTCTCTCAATCCCCTCTAGTGGCTGTTCCACATGGAGGACAACAGCTGACTACTTCTATCACTCTTAGCTCAAGTAGTAGAGATCGGGTTCGTCTAAGCTGTGTTGATGCACAGAGGCCTAATAAGCCTCTTTCTGGCTTAATAATAACCTTTCTGGGCTGGTGGCAGTGAGTATCCACAGTTTCCTTCCCACACACTTTCCACCCCCTCCTCCAAAAGTGCCCCATCCCTGCTCCTCCTGCATGCCACAGAATAACCTACCTGAGACAACACATACGATTCTAGTATACTTAGATGTAGCTGGTCAAAGCCATCAAAATCGCTCCACCTGGAATTTACTTTGGGCTTGTCTACATTTGATGTGCTGCAGCTGCATCGCTGTAGCACTCCAGTATAGACATTACTCATGCCAAAGAAAGGAGTTCTCCCATCAGTGTAAGGTGGCTTCCTAAGGCTATAGCTAGGTGGCTGGAAAAAAATCTTCCATCTACCTAACACTATAACAGAATCTCAGAATTACAAACACCTCAGGAGTGCAAGTTGTTTGTAACTCTAAAATGTTCGTAACTCTGAACAAAACATTATAGTAGTTCTTTCAAAAGTTTACCACTGAACATTGACTCAATACAACTTTGAAACTTTACTATGCAGAAGAAAAATCCTGCTTTTGAACAATGTAGTTTAAATAAATCGAGCACAGAAAGAGTTTTTTCCCTGTCAAATATTTTTTTAACTCCCTCCCCCCTTTTTTTTAGTAGTTTATGCTTAACAGTACTGTACTATACAGCATTTGCTTTTTGAGGGTGGGCAGAGGGTCATCACTGCAGCTGCCAATTGCATACATGTTGAACCTCTCCAAATCGGGAATCTGTCCAGCATCATCATACATGATCCGGTAGGACCACGGATGTTTCTGGACCAGGGAGCCCTGGCAGCTGGGAGTCCAGGGGCAAGGGGCCAGTGGCAGTGAGGGGTCTGGGCTGGTGGCAGTGAGGCCAGTACAGTAAAACTCCAATGGTCCGGCATCTGATGGTCCGGCACCATCAGGAACCCGGAAGTGCTCCGGGCAGCCGGACCATTGGAGCTGCTCTGCCCCCAGCTTCCCC